ACGTGTATTTCGGGTACCTCATATTCTATCTAGTACCTTTTATACCGGTGAGGATATGAGGTACCCAAAATACAAGTCCAGGCTCGCTATACGCGCACATATAATCCCCTAGATACCATTAAAGTAGAATGCTATAATGCCAGAAAGGTCTGTTAGGTATGGATGGACTTGTATAACGCTTACGTGTGGCTAGATTGACCCAGTTCTGGTACAAAATGAAATACTTCATAACTTTTGAACCAATAGTCCGTTCAGGATGAGAATAAGCGTACGTTTACTACTCGCTAATACGGTGAATTAAAGTTGATTAACTGCCAATGATATTGATTTTTAATGTACCTCTGGGTCAACCTCCAAAGTAATTATCTCCCATCTCCTAAAGCCAATTTTTTTGGTTCACGGCTCCTATATGTCTGATATTCGAAGTTTGAATTTGAACAGATCCAATCTGGGCCAATGAGTAACTAGCATTGAAAGAAAGATAACGGTTTGTTTAATTTGCCGCTATGGAGTATGTAGTATGAACGGTTGTAATTTGTATGTATTTTATTATAAAAAAACTAAAATACAAATAAGAAGATTTCCGTGTTTCCCTGTTCCCAGCAGAGTACAGACTCTACAATTCTGCACAATCTATTATTCTATTTACACATATTTATTAATATAATTTTAGTCCTCTCTGCTCCAGGAGTCCAGGATATAGCCTAAAGTTTGAATTAATTAAGCACCAATGAAAACAGGATTCACACCCCCGCCTTGGCCGTTTCAGCATGGCGGCCTGGCGTGTGAGTCTGTGTCTTTATGAGTCAGACTGCGACTGTGGTCTGTGAGACAGTGAGAATGTGAGTCTGTGTCTCTGCGAGACTGCGATCCTCCGGAAGACGGAAGTCGGAAGAAACAGGATGATTTTTTGAAAGTGTTTTTTATTATTAATTATATATATAAACGTTTGTATAAAATAAGAGGCTATGAATAATGAAACGTTGACGCTGTCATTTTGCTTTTTTTTTTACAAAAACAAAACAAAACACACTTTCTTGGGCGGGCCAGTCATGGACTCATGGCCCTACAAGAAGTGCCAAATGCCGAGTTGCCGACTGCCCAGACTCCAGAGTCCAGAGCCCCAGACTCTGGCTGCTGGTATTTGCACCATGCTGTTCGTCTCGTGCGTATGGTCCGTTTTAAAGGTACAGTCACAGACAAATAAGGCGGTTCCAAGTGGAGATTTGTTTCAGGCGACTCCCCCCCCTCCCCTTTTTTTGGGGCTGAGCTCTTTTTAGTTCGAACGCTGCATTTTTATAATTGGACTATAGGTGTACCCTGGAAACAGCCTCAGTGGACATACGGGTGCATTTGAATAGTTCAAAATTCACTGTTTTAAAAAAAGCAGTGCCTGTTTTTTTTTAAAGCAGTGCTGTCGTTACAACCGTGAAGAGGGCAGGCCTGCTCTGGCGCGCTACCTGTTTTACCTAAATATGGTAGCAAAGTGGTCATGTCTAGTCCCAACTGTAAAATAAGAGGAAAGAGGAAAGAGCCTCCCCTCCCCCTTTTTTTGGATTCTATTAAACACGTTATAGCTTATCAAATATCAACTATCAAGGTTTTCTGTCTGTCTCTTTATATAATGAAAAGGGATATACCACAAAAATTACCAATCAGAAACATTAAAACTTCAGGTAAATTTTAGGATTGAGCAAAATGCAAAGCTTTTTCATGGCCCTCTGGATTTGGATCTCTGCTAAATTTACGATTTCTCGTCGGACGAAACCTGATTTCTGCTCGCGAACCTAATCCAGAGGGCCATGGCATTTTCAGACTTTCAGTCCCTCGCCGCTCCAGGCGGCAGGTTTTAAAAAAAAATCAGTGAGCAAAAAAGTCTCGCCTTGTGACGGTGTACACTTTGCCTTTCCGGCCACCGTCTGCGGCCGTGCGACGTCTGGTGAGTGGTATGTCAACTGTCACTGTCACAAGTGTCAAGTAAAGGCTTCTCGCCAAAATAAACAAAGTGCGTATCAGCTATCATACATTGCCTCACTTCTATTTCTAAAAGGCATATAAACAGAACAATGTCTTGCATACACCAATATTCGTTGCTTATCAACAGTTATAAAAAAGGGTTACCGTCACGTTCAGGACTAAACAACAAAAATGCTACGCAATCGTGTGTGCCTCGTCACCGGTGGTGCAAGTGGGCTGGGCTTTAAGTTAGTACAGAGACTCATTGCAGCGAATGCGAAGGTGTGCGTGATGGATAAGAGCTACACCGACTCACTCTTGCATTCTCAAGATGCAGGGGAAGGCCTTCATCTGTTCGAAGGAGGTCAGTTATAATTTAATCTTTGTTGTTTCTATTGTTTCTATTGTTTCAATATTGTTTCTATAGTTTCATGTTCAGCTTTACTTTCAATATTTAAACAGTATGCTATTATTTGGTTCACATGATTTTCTTGCAACACTAAAAAAAAAACTCCACAAATGTACAACACGACACCCTTGCATCGAATGCAGACGTTACAAAGCCGGAGGATATCTCAGAGGCCATAAAAACGGCTGAGGAATATTTTAATTCCCCATTGCAAGTCATGGTGAACAACGCCGGCATTGGAGACGAGTCCGATGTCGCGCGCACGATTAACATAAATCTTAAGGCTGTCATCGACGGTACTACACTCGCTGTGCACAAGATGCAGATGGAGAAGGTGGCTGGTGTGATCGTAAACGTAGCTTCTATGGGGGGAATCTATCCCATGCCGTTCGCACCAGTGTACGCCGCCACCAAGGCTGGCGTAATTCAATACTCACGCAGTGTATATGAACGTTTAGAGAGCTACAATCGCGCACAGAAAGGCAAGGATCAGATTATCCGTGTCAACACACTGTGTCCTTCGTTCGCGGAGACACCTTTGCTTACTCACTTAAAATCATCAATTCCAAATGGAGCCAAGATTGTGGACGCCTTGGGCCGAGCGCTAACAGCCGACGAGGTGGCGGATTGCTTTATGACATTAATCGAGGATGAACAGAAAAATGGCGCAATCTTGAGGGTCACAAATCATGGTGTGACCTACCAAAACGAAAAATATTTTCAATAATTTTCAGTTCTTTTTGCTTGACAACAGAAATGGTTGTTGCTCATGTAGTTGATTGTAAATTTACACTTGAGCTCTGACCCAGACTTTGTCCCAATGAACTGGGTTGGGGTTGGGTATGAACGAGGGTATACTAGTTGAAAACAAGATTTCGGACGCTGCGGCTCCGCACCGTACTTTGTAGAATTTAATAAAATCTCGTCACAGATCGTTGTCCATAGAGTGATATTATCCGCGAAGTAGGGAACACGAACAACAATCGTTGTTGTGCAATTGGAAACGACTTTGCAATCAATTTATAGTTTGAAGCAAAAGTATTCCACAGCAAATTAAAAAGTGGTTGGAACGATGGGAATAACGAGCTCAAGAAAGCCTGCAAGTCAAATTGCACAAATAAGTGGTAAGCACGCTTGGAAAACTAGCAATAGAATCACTCTCCCACCAAGCAAATTTCTCCATAGAAATTGAAATCGTTCGAGTCAAACTGCACTGGAAGGCCTGACATGAGAGGCACAACTGTTTGAATGCTTTGAAAACTAGCACCAAAATTATAAGTATGATGTGAAGAGGCGCAACCATTTTGATGCTTAAACTAGCAATAGGATCACTCTCACTCCAAGTGTATAGTTCGTAAAATTCCCCGTGGTATTTGAAAGTTTATCTCGAGTGGCGGTACTAGGAATATACGTGTCTGCATCCTAGGCCCTGTACAATCAACATCCTATTTTTTAATATATACAACAATAAGAAAATTCGGTAACTCCGAAATTTCAAATCAGGCTGCCGTCAATAACCAGCACTTGACTTAGTTCACGATTTAGTTGGCACCCTGCGCTGGTACGCCGTATAGACCGGGGTTCAGAATCTGTCGCTGCTGCTGCATTTGTTGCTTGCGTTCTAACTCCATTGACTCAAGCTGCTGTTCACCCTCCACTGCTAACATGAGCTAAAGAATATTTGAGGAAACGGACAAATATTGAGAAGGGTACGCACCTGACTTCACCAGAAGGGTTACTTTTAGGATGTAAAAACCGGTCGAACAACTGTTACACCGAAACAAGAATATATCATTCTTACACTGTGGAACAAAAATCGAGCGGCTAGTAACATTTATCGAACACATACACACCAAAAAATGAACCGACATTAGAAAATATTGAGCATCTAGGCCACTATGTAAAAGAAATTACTCACCGGAAGACCGAGAACGAAGAAAGTAGTTGTGCCAATCCAGGCTACTGTGCCCAGACTTTGAAGCGAGTAGATAGTAACTGAATGGGTGGTTGTACCAACCTTGTACACAGTGTCTCGGATGGGTTTGGGAATGAACTCCTGGAGAGAATATAAATCAGAATTCCAAATTATGTTGTTAATCTGTGCGGTCACTTCCATGGAAAATACACACGCAGAGAAGGGAGGGTACAAATGGCTAGACATAGTGGTTGCATATAACTTGTGAGTACGATATATTCGATAGAGTGAGTAAATAAAAGTAAAATATATCAATCTGAGGATCCTTTCGCGAAGAACATACGCCCGCACTATCAACATACAATATGTCGCACGGAGCACAATCAAGTAGTGAACATACCACTAGTCCTGACAGGCGATCGAGCAGGGATTCAGATTCCTCCTCCTCCTCTACCACCACCACTTGATCCTCTGGGGGCATGACGCCATCTGTAACATCAACAATCTTGGCCATCTTGAGGTATTGCTATCTATTCGACGTGTAAGCGAAACTACGTGCGTGTATACGTACGGAATCGAAAACATGTGGTAAATATAGCTTTGTATGAAATCACACCAAATTTCAAGCTTGTGCTATTTATAGCACAGGCAGTCAGAAAACAATTGTTTTTTATTGTTTTATTGTAGAAAGCAGGGACCGAAAGCGTATATCTTTAGGGGTAATTTACCTATCTTTATTTAGAGATTTTGGCCTATTGATTATTTTGTATAGGGTCTCAAATGGGCAAACCCGATTCCAGCTGGAAAAAATGGCGTCACCGACGTTTTTTGGCGACAGATAATATAAAACGGCTGGGACGTCGCGGGGACTGAAAGAGCTTAACTATAGGGGTAGTTTACTTGTTTATATTCAGACATTCTGATTCGGACCTATTGGTTTTTTGATAGGGTCTCAAATAGGCAAAACCTATTAAAGCCGGAAAAAAAGGCGTCACGAACATTTTTTGGCGACGGACAAAAAATCGGTGATAAAACACGGCCGGCCGCCGCAGAGACTGAAAGCGCTTAATTATAGGGGTAATTAACTTGTTTATAATCAGACATCCTGATTCGGGCCTATTGATTATTTTGTATTGGGTCTCAAATGGGCAAAACCTATCCCAGCCCGAAAAGAAACGTCACTCACGATTTTGGGGACGGACAAATAATCGGTGATAAAGTCGACAGGGACTTAGAAAGCTTACGCTTTCTGTAATAAAGTAGACCGGGGACTTAGAAAAGCTTACGCTTTCAGTAATAAAGTCGACAGGGACTTAAAAACTTACGCTTTCAGTAATAAAGTTGACCGGGACTTAGAAAAGCTTACGCTTTCAGTAAAAAATCGGTGATAATGTCGACAGGGACTTTTAGAAAAGCTTACGCATTCAGTAATAAAACGCGACTGTGAAGCCGAAGGGACTGAAAGCGTATAAAAATAGGGGTAATTTTTTTGTTCATATTCAGACTGTACATACTGTTATAATAAATAAATAGTAAATTATTTCTTAACCAGTACGGACTGTATTCAACATTACACGCCCTAATAGCAATTCACCATAAAATACACACGTACACGCTCACACACACTCTCTCTCTCTTACACTCATACTCACACTCACACTCACACTTACACTCACATTCATACTCATACACTCTTACTCATACACTCTTAAACACACTCACGCTCACATTAACATTCACATTCACATTCACACAGTCACGTTCACATTCACATTCTCATACACACACAACTTTCAGTTTCAGTCCTAGTCTCACTCAGACTCAGACTCATTCAATTGCACATATGCACATATACGCATGCATATTGATATATTTATATGTAGTGTGTGTGTGTGTGTGAGTATGTGTTTGTGTGTGCGTGTATGTATGTGTATGTATACGTTTATATATAAATATATATATATATATATATATATATATTTATATATATATATATACATATATATATATATACATATACATATACATATTTATATATATATATATATATATATATATAGATAGATATATATATTATATAGTGTATGTGTGTGTAAGAAGGTGTGAGTGTGCGTGTATGTATGTGTGTATGTGATATATATATTATATAGTGTATGTGTGTGTAAGTAGGTGTGAGTGTGCGTGTATGTATGTGTGTATGTGCATACGTTTATATATATATATATATAGAGGTGTGTGTATATATGTATGTCAATGTGTATGTTTGTATGCAAATATTCATTTTTGCATGTATGTTTGTATTTGTGTGTATGTATGCGTGTTATATGTGTGTATCAATGTGTTCATGTATGTGTGTATTTATATGTGTATATCAATTTGCATTTATGAACTCGGTTATGTATATAAGTATGTGTATATGTATATATAGATACATGCATATGTATATGTACATATATACATAAATACATAGATACATGCAAACATACACACACAAATATATATATTTATATATATATATATATATATATTTATATTGGTATATATATATATATATATTGGTATGTGGATTTTTGGTGCGTGTGTTTTTATGTAATTCTGTATGTATGTATGTACTGGTGTGCAAGTATATATATATATATATATATTGTATGTATGTATGTATGTACTGATGTGCATGTATATATATATTGTATGTATGTATGTATGTACTGATGTGCATGTATATATTATGTATATATATATATATATATATATATATATATGTATGTATATATATATATATGCGTGTGTGTGTGTGTGTGGATAGGTGTGGGAGTGTGTCTGTATGTATATGTATGTTTGTATACCTGTAAGTATTTTTTATGTATGTATGTATGTAGGTTTGTGTGTGTATAGTTATGTATCTATATATATATATATATATATGTGTGTGTGTGTGTGTGTGGAAGGTTTTAGTATGCATAAGTGTGTGCGTGTATGATTTAGGATGCATGCATGTGTGTGTGTGTGGATGGTTCATTATGCATTTATATATATATATATATATATGTGTGTGTGTGTGGACGGAAGTTTTTAGTACGCACAAGTGTGTGTGTGTGTATGATTTAGGATGCATATGTGTGTGTGTATGGTTTAGGATGCATATGTGTGTGTGTATGGTTTAGGATGCATGTGTGTGTGTATGGTTTAGGACGCATATTTGTGTGTGTATGGTTTAGGATGCATATGTGTGTGTGTATGGTTTAAGATGCATATGTGTGTGTGTATGGTTTAGGATGCATATGTGTGTGTGTATGGTTTAGGATGCATATGTGTGTGTATGGTTTAGGATGCATATGTGTGTGTGTGGTTTAGGATGCATATGTGTGAGTGTATGTATTTAGGATGCATATGTGTGTGTATGGTTTAGGATGCATATGTGTGTGTGTATGGTTTAGGATGCATATGTGTGTGTGTATGGTTTAGGATGATGGTTTAGGACATGTGTGTGTGTGAATGTGGATGGTATATGTATATATATAAATATATTATTATATTTATATATATATATATATATATATATATATATATATATATATGCTCAAACCGCATTTTGTAAAAGTGTCTCAAATGGGCAAACCCCAATCCAGCCGAGAAAAAAAGCGTCACCGACGTTTTTTCGCTTTCAGTAATAAAATATTATATTCGAATTCTTTAGTAGGGTCTACAAATGGGCCAAAAAAAAATGGGCCGGTTAATTATTTTGTAGAGGGTCACGACCCTCTAGAGAAAGAAACAAAATATGGCTGAACGGACTAACGTCCGTAGGACGAGGGTTTAATAGTCTGTGTACAGTAATTACTGTAACCGCTCGTACTGTATTTATCCCGAGGTATATCTTTAGAAGCTGTGTTTTTTGTAGTGTTTGCAGAGAAACATAGACGACAAACACGTTAGTGCAAGCAACAAGGACATCGGTATAGGCGAGAAACGCGAAGATGCATGTGAACGTTGAAACGACAGCCCAGACTCGGGCAGCGGAACAGTGCATACCAGCAATACAGAGCTTGGTTCAAGCAAAGACCGCGTTGATACCGGTACTGCGCACGTGGATGTGGACAGGGTAAACGTACATACAGGTGACAGACCCGTTAATACGGACTGTAGTCCACTCGACGCTGGCGGCATAAACGTTATTGCGCGCACCACGCACATCGATGTTGACAGCATAGACCTTGATACAGGTTGTGCACAGGACGACACGAGAAAAGAGTTCGCTACAGCGAACTACCAACACGTGAGTGCTAATAGACGACTGGGCAAAACGTATGCGTACTGAAACGGATACAGATTAAACTGGGCCAGGGGTGCGTGCCAGTCCTACCCGGACACAGCACACTAAAATCGGTCTAATGCCGAACACCAACTCCAGTCAGAGAACAACTTCTAACGCCAAACAACCACTACACTCAGGTTTATGTTTGATGCCAAATGCTAATCACAGCCGTACTAGCACAATACCAAATAGCATTCCCAGTCGAACAACGACTGCTAATACGCGACAATCACCACGCACAAATGCCAAATTTAATACCAAATACGCCTCTCAATCAACTACCAAGGACAGGTCCTGCACAAACACACACAAGTTCAAAGCCAGCGTCTAGTACCAATGTCAAACAGATGCCCACCGCCAATCCCTCACACGCACCGCGGAAACGATACACACAATAGATGAGATCATGCGAATGCCTCTGGCTCAACTGCCTCCCAAAGCGCGCGAGTTGAATGTGCATGGGGTTGTGTCGTGGGTTGGAAGTTGTCAGACATCCAGTACAGGTGAGTGCTACCGACAACTGTCGGTGGTGGATGAGACGGTGAGACATGCCATGTGGGACAATGCCGCGCTGAAGGTGATGTTGTTTTTTAAGCAGAGAGCAGCAATGCTTGGCGATGGCTTGAAGGTGCATACGTGGGGGAGTGCAGGGACGTGCCTGGTAATGGAAAGTGCTATGGTTGCACTCAGTGACAGTGTGAATTATCGAGAGATGTGTGAACAAGTGCTTGCTACTTCATTGCCGGCGATGTCTACTGTGCTCAACTCCTATAAACGCTTTCATTCAAACATGTTGGTAATGTAATTCGGTTCTACCGTGCACAAATAGATCTGTACAACGGCAAACCGCAACTGAAGAAGTCCGGCAAGGCTTTCCGGTGGGTTTACTTCCCCATGCCTACGAGGCCGATTGCATTTGGCGCGTCTGGTACGTAACACACGACTTAGTATTCGATCGCAGAACACGACCCAGTGGAATTATGGGTCAGAAATGTCTTGCTTTGGAAGCTCTTTTATGCACGTGTTAAAAATAGCTCATTTTGTCTCTCTCTATTGTTCACGCGCATCGCTTACGCCGCATGCGTACTGTGAATTATGTGTCACGACGTACTTTGATAATTAAGTTCTTATGGGGATGGCAGCGGTTTATATTAAGAGGATGAGTTCGTATTTGCATAAAATGCGACAGATAAAATTATGTCAGTACATTCTGAATTGTGTCCATTAAAGGATGTCAGTACATACTGAATTATGTGTCTGCAAAAGGATGTCAGTACATTCTGAATTATGTGTCTATATGCTTTCATTTACAGCTGAGTATTTTTTAAAGCTATCATTTCTGCGCCATGCTCCAAAAAGACATGGTTGGGAAGTACACCATTGACTCTGCTTCGCGTGTCAGCCGAGATTTGTGCATGTTCATACCAATAATCATTTTCAATTATTCGTGCGTACATATACCTCTTCTGCTGTAAATTTCATACTGTAATATATATCTCTCCGCTCATCATTTGAATATTGACCCACGCCTACGGCAGGCTCTGTAATGATGTGCCCAAGTACTGTGGTGCAAGGCCCAAGCAAGTGCAAACTTCACAGACTTTGACAATCAGAGAGTGGGGGAATTGGTCTTGATGTTCCACAGAATCAGTCCCCCGTCTGTGCCATCTGCCGGTGGCGACTCAGCAGGCGATGACCAGTCACAGCACACAGCGCATCTGATACCAACTCGTACTTCGAAAATCCGCAGTTTTAGGCATGAAGGCATGACACAGTAGCTAGCTTGATCGTACAGGTCAGTGAGTGCGTCCTTTCTGTGTGGTTACAAGACCTGAGCACCTCTACGGCGGAATTTGGGGTTTTAAAGACGTCACCGTAGCTAGTTCAATTGTCCAGATCAGTTGCTGTGTTCTTTTGTATCTGTATAAGTCCGAACACGACAGCCTCATATTGCACAAGGTAGGTAATAACTGATACACCCTCCACATTACATAACCAATTCATAACTTATAACTCTGCTTTCGTACAAGTGGGTCTCGGGCCTGCTTAATCAGTGATAGATTGGCTAGACAGGCTGCTATGTTTTTGAAGTCTTTCTGCGGTTCAGTTCAAATTGTGGGTATGTTTATCTCACTCACGCTAACATGCATGGAATCTCTGTTTGATAGACAAGTAGCAGCAGAGAAAGGAATCGCTTACGGCTGGTCGCGATGCCCACAACAAGCATGCGCTCACTATTGGGTACGCTACGATTTCAGAGTGGAAAATACCAATTATAGTGTCCGCACGTAAGTAAGTATGTACGTACGTGAAGATCTGTGTGTCTGTTTGTCGGTCAGTAACGATTCACTTCGACAACCCGTTGATATCACTCAGATCGATCTCAGATAGAACACTGGGTACCGTTGCGTTTCCGCAATACAAGTATTTTATAGTTTTCGCGACTAGAGGGGTAGGCGTGTAATTGTGAGATATGGTGTAACAGTGGAGAGCATACGTACTTGCAGTTATGTGCAATACCAACAAATAAACGACAAATCAACATCGACCAGCTTGCTGAGACGTCTATAAGAATAAATATCCTTCCTCTTGTGTGCTTATATTTAGTTTGCAAATGCAAGACCCCACAGGCCACAGCCTCCTATAATTCTTGAAGATACAACCCTAAACCCTGGAAATATAACTTTAAACCCTGGAAATCACTGGGAAAGTCCGCCAGATTGTATTGTTTCATTTAGAAGGCTATGATTGTATGTAGGATGGCGCGCAGATATCAAGATCCATTGTCATGCACCGTGTGCACAAGTTATTGTATGTAAATATTAATAATTCTCCCCTGAGTGAGATCAAAGAAAGACACTATCGCTTACTTCACAACTGTATGATACAATCTTGATGCTTGCACTTCCCGTGGAGAACGATGCCGAAGAAGTGAATACACACACGATGATATCATAGCCCTGCCTTTGTGGTGTTCATGTACATACAACGAAGACCATCGAAACACAACATTGCGAAACGCCATTTCGCTGGGACACCACTCCAGTAGTGCACAACTGTAGAGTGCAGTTAGAGATAGGGAACCATCATGACGTCCAATACCTACCATACCGTGTCATCGTTAGAGCTTTCAGAATTGTCAAAAGGCGACACCATATCCCTTGGCTGCTTCAAGGACCGTGTGCTTTCGCGCATTGTCGCGAATCACAGGCTTTGATACGAACTGCAGGATGTGTCTAACGCCAATGTGTACTTTGCGCACGACCGTGGTTTGTTCGTTATGGCTGACTTCAAGCTCTCCAAGGAAGAGATGAATTTGCTTAACAATGCGGGACCCCAAACCTGACAAGACCCGCTATGTACGACTACTGGGGGACATAGGCAAGTGAAGGACCTGCTCAACACCATTCAAAGGCACGATGTGCTGACAACCCAAGGTTTCTGAGTGTCCAATAACTTGCCGGTTAGCCGGTCATAGCCCTCCTTGCGACTCAAATCAAGGTATTGGTGGTGTGTTCAAGACGTGCCTTCTGTGTACAGTACTGTAACTGCTCGTACTGTATTTATCCCGCGATTCAGTCCCTTGGCGTGAATGAAGAATCAGTTCAGTATATACTTGGCGGCTGTTGTTTTTGGTAGTGTTTGCAGAGGAGCATGTCTGTGATATCTTACTTTGTTCACTCGAACGACCATCAGTGTTTTCACTAAACGGAACACGGTTTTATGAAGCCGATGCAACTTACGAAAATGTCGATCGTACTATTCGTTTGCGAGCACGATGTGTATATTAAAGCAGTTTGATAAGGCTGCTAAGCAGAGACAATTTTATGTAGCAGCTGTTTTTTTTGTAGTGTTTGCAGCGAAACATATCTGTGATATCTTAATTTGCTCACTCAAACAACCATCAGTGTTTTCACTAAACGGAACACGGCTATATGAAGCCGATGCAACTTACGAAAGTGCACGCGTAGATTTATGACGATTGTACTGTTCGTTTGCGAGCACGATGTGTATATTGAAGCAGTTTGATATGGCTGCTAGGCAAAGACAATCTTATGAAGCAGCTATTTTTTTGTAGCGTTTGCAGAGGAACATATACATATCTGTGATATTTTACTTTGTTCACTCAAACGACCATCAGTGTTTTCACTAAACGGAACATTGTTATAAGAAGCCGATGCAACTTACGAAAATGTACGCATAAATTTATGACGATTGTACTATTCGTTTGCGAGCACGATGTGTATATTGAAGCAGTTTGATATGGCTGCTAGGCAAAGACAATCTTATGAAGCAGCTGTTTTTTTGTAGCTTTTGCAGAGGAACATATCTGTGATATCTTACTTTGTTCACTCAAACAACCATCAGTGTTTTCACTTAACGGAACGCGGTTATATGGAGCCAATGCAACTTACGAAAATGCACGCATAGGTTTATGACGATTGTACTATTCGGTTGCGAGCACGATATGTATATTGAAGCAGTTTGATATGGCTGCTAAGTAAAGACAATCTATTGTAGCAGCTGTTTTTTTTGGTGGCGTTTGCAGAGGAACATATCTGTGATATCTTACTTTGTTCACTCAAACGACCATCAGTGTTTTCACTAAACGGAACATTGTTATAAGAAACCGATGCAACTAACGAAAATGCACGCATAGATTTATGGCGATTGTACTATTCGTTTGCGAGCACAATGTGTACATTGAAGTAGTTTGATATGACTGCTAAGCAAAGACAATTGTACTAGTCATGCGTCTGAAATGCTAAAATGTAAAGCGTTGAGTCAAGGTGCATGCGATTAAGATCAATTATTGGCTTTATTGCCTGCTATGGTAGGAATAACTATCTGTATCTCACACGTTCTTGACATATATGTATTCGGGTTAAATCGATTATCACGGTTTCTACCACATTCAGGTACTATCACATTCAGGTATGCGTTCATGGAATCGTTGGAAAGTAAATGCGCACCTGCAATGGTAATACTCCTCAACTGTCCTCCAAATATCTATAGCAAGTATACAAGAGAAGTATGTGACACAATGATTTTATGACTCTTGCACCAGCATTGAACCTTGCTTTCACCTCCTAGGCAAATTAAACAACCGGTGTAAACGAAGAATACATGATTCTTCCTTCAACTCTTACATCCGAGACCATCATTGCTAAAGATCTCTATTAGAATATACAAGAGTCCTATTTCGGTGTGTTGTCTTGCGACCAGCCTCGGACCTAGTATCGTGTTCAAGTTTTAGGTGGCCATGAAACATCATGCACAACCACTCTATTTCTTGCTGAAATGTGTAACATATACCTCAGCATCTGACCGATGCATTCCCCTCCATCTGATGCCACAGGTAGAAACGGCAGTTGAGCGAGGCACGCCGGTGCACATAATCAGCGACCATCCCCTGCGTGCTACCACCTGTAGCCCCGCTATTGTCAGCACAACCACCACAGATTCACATGCACAGCCTACCGTACCGTTGAACCCAAGTAGTACCAAACTTCACAGTGGGATACACAGCATGCCCACAGCCGTTGACGTCTTCGTATTCGCTGCCGCAGCCTGTACGCCATCATTCCGAGACAGAGCCTGCAGGCGCACACGATAGAGCTGGTAAGGGCCACGGTGTCACATACAACACACGGGGTGATGATGACAACACACACGAGGCTACGGGTAGCAGTCACACCAACACAGACGACAAACACGTTAGTGCAAGCAACAAGAACATCGGTATAGGCGAGACACGCGCTGATGCAAACAATAGACGCGAAGATGCATGTGAACGTTGAAACCGACAGCCCAGACTCGGGCAGCGGAACAGTGCATACCAGCAATACAGAGCTTGGTTCAAGCAAAGACCGCGTAGATACCAGTCTGCGCACGTGGATGTGGACAGGGTAAACGTACATACAGGTGACAGACCCGTTAATACGGACTGTAGTCCACTCGACGCTGGCGGCATAAACGACATTGCGCGCACCACGCACATCGATGTTGACAGCATAGACCTTGATACAGGTTGTGCACACGACGACACGAGAAAAGAATTTATAAGTCCGAACACGACATCCTCATATTGCACTGAGAGTTGTGTTATATTTCTCTCCTAATTGTATGTCGCCATTCCCGTTGAAACCATCGCTCAAAGGTACAATCACAAAGGTGCTATGCGTCTCAATCCTCAGCATGGATGAAGCTTTTGCACTGATGTGCTTCTCATTGAATAGTAGTATCCAGTAGGTGTGCTTGCGATCCTTTTGCATAGATGAGCTTCTCATCAAATAGTGGTATTATGTAGGTATGCCAGCGATCCTTTTGCACAGATGTGCTTATCATTGAATAGTAGTATTAAGTAGGTATGCTTGCGATCCGTATGCACAGATGTGCTTCTCGTCGAAAAATAATACTAAGTAGGTATGCTTGCGATACGTTTGCACAGATGTGCTTCTCATTGAATAGTAGTATCAATTAGGTATGCTTGCGGTCCCTTTGCACAGATGTGCTTCTCATTGAATAGTAGTATCCAGTAGGTATGCTTGCGGTCCCTTTGCACAGATGTGCTTCTCATTGAATAGTAGTTTTAAGTAGGTGTGCTTGCAATCCTTTTACACAGATGCGATTCTCATTGAATAGTAGTATCAAGTAGGTATGCTTGCGGTCCCTTTGCACAGATGTGCTTCTCATTGAATAGTAGTATCAAGTAGGTATGCTTGCGATCCTTTTGCACATATGTGCTTCGCATTGAATAGTAGTATTAAGTAGGTATGCTTGCAATCCTTTTGCACATATGTGCTTCTCATTGAAAAGTAGTATCAATTAGGTGTGCTTGCAATCCTTTTGCACAAATCTGTTTCTCATTGAATAGTAGTATCAAGTAGGTATACTTGCGATCCTTTTGCACAGATGTGCTTATCATTGAATAGTAGTATCAAGTAGGTACGCTTGCGATCCTTTTGCACAGATGTGCATCTCATTGAATAGTAGTATCCAGTAGGTATGCTTACGATCCTTTTGCACAGATGTGCATCTCATTGAATAGTAGTATCCAGTAGGTATGCTTAAGATCTTTTTGCACAGATGTGCTTCTCATTGAATAGTGGTATTATGTAGGTATGCCAGCGATCCTTTTGCACAGATGTGCTTATCATTGAATAGTAGTATTAAGTAGGTGTGCTTGCGATCCTTTTGCACAGATATGCTTCTCATTGAATAGTAGTACTTTGTAGGTATGCTTGCGATCCCTTTGCACAGATGTGCTTCTCATTGAATAGTAGTATTTGTAGGTATGCTTGCGATCCTTTTGCACAGATATGCTTCTCATTGAATAGTAGTACTTTGTAGGTATGCTTGCGATCCCTTTGCACAGATGTGCTTCTCATTGAATAGTAGTATTTTGTAGGTATGCTTGCGATCCTTTTGCACAGATGTGCTTCTCATTGAATAGTAGTACTTTGTAGGTATGCTTGCGATCCCTTTGCACAGATGTGCTTCTCATTGAATAGTAGTACTTTGTAGGTATGCTTGCGATCCTTTTGCACATATGTGCTTCTCATTGAATAGTGGTATTAAGTAGCTGTGCTTATGATCCTTTTGCACAGATGTGCTTCCCATTGAATAGTAGTACTTTGTAGGTATGCTTGCGATCCCTTTGCACAGATGTGCTGCCGTCAAACAAACAGTCCTTAGCGAAATGGCCAGTTTTCCCACCTTTGTTGCTCTTGTCTTTGCTGCCACCTCAATCTCTGTTCTGACTCGAGACATAAGTCATATTGCGTGCGCCAAGTGGCTTCTGTTATATTGAGCCTGCAGTGTCTGCAAGCTTTATATCGATTACCAAGCTATCTTCATTTGCCAACTTCAAACGAACATCCAACTTCAATTAATCGTCAGATCTATACATATATATAACAGCAGCTTCGCTCTATTGTATGTTTGGCACATTAACTGAAACTTTTATCTACGAGCTCGTATAGCACCGATCTGCCTGATTGTCATCAGCCCTTCTAGACACTCGGTCTGTCAGTTCGGGACAGGTAAAAAAGGGATGATTAGAGGATCTATAATTCATCGCCCTAGTACCAGTGCAAAAGAAGGTATCAACATCGCTGTCAATAATAATCGACCCTTCTTGGATCATCGACACTAAGTCGGTTAATCAAGAATGAATTTTCCTTGGAGAATATCACTATGATAACTTCCAATCTTTATGTTCACATTTATGAACAGCGTGATCTTTGCGTGGCTTCGTAGTTGTACGTTTTGATGCTTGAGTACTCTCTTTGAATGCACATCTATACTCATTCGAGCAACTCGACGGTAGCATTTGGTGTGGGGTACGTGATTAACGTTTCCGATTAGCTCTATTCTATCTTACTATTGCCGTATGATCGATATATTGCCAAAGTCTTCCGTGATGGCGTTTTCGATTTGATCCAGTCCATGCTCGATTTGATCGACTCCACGTTTATCGCTCCGCTCATCGTGGACAGTGTCGTCTCGTAAGAGGTCTTTTAAAGGACGAGAGATAGAGTATTGTAGAAAATCGTTCTTCACTTCACCAGGTTAGTCACCCTGAATTAATTATGATTATCCCTGTGTAGCAAGTATACGTATGAAATAGAACTTACAATTACAAATAACTATATATTACATATTATGAATCAGGTACCATTTCCGGATGGTCTAGCTGGTTATGACGGCTGCTTAACACGCAGCAGGTCGGCGGTTCAAGTCCGCCTCTGGAAATTAGAGTTTTTATCTTTCACAAAGTAGCAAGCATTGAACGGAATGTAGATCAATAAATACACTTAAGAATACAGTATGCACACAGAATGAGACGAACTTTAATATTTCGTTCATTTCGTCTGCGTAGTACTTCCTTCGAAAAGATAGCGTGTTCCTCCTCGGCCACAGATCCGAAGATGACATGATCCATGTATATGTAGACCCCTTTCTGAAGGTCTCGCAAAAGATCTTCCATCAGGGATTGGGATGTGAATCCTGAATCGGTCAACTCTATTGGTATCTTCAGGTATCGATATGGCTTTTCCTATAAAAAAAAATATAGGCGAATGTACTTTGTGGACTCGTGTACAAGCTCAACCTATCAACAGCCACGCGCCGTGTCCGACTTAGAGGAGTATTTATATATTTTTGATACACGTCGCACTATATCCTCTTCATTGAGAACTGGGATATGCCGAAATTTGAATTGTCGATTTAACGGCACAAGATTTGCTCAAACACCAATGTTACAGGCTCCTTAGTGGGGACCATCAGCGTTCCAGAAACACTTCTCAACGACGTGCTCCTTATTAACGATCTGATGGAGCTTTAGTCGTATTGTGATCATGGTAGCTGTAGCCATATATCACACGCAACCTCCTGGAACTTGAATTGCCACCACAGTCATGCTTTTCTCCACATGGTGCCCTTCGCTCTGTCCTGACTGTCAGCGACGACTCAAATACATAGTCTTGTATCCATCGCCACCCAAGTAAAGGCACGTCAAATACCTTGGCGTCGACCCTATGGACTGTCTGCCAGCTCTCTGTGTCAGCAAAACCAAGCGTAAGCTCAATCCGTCCATACCATACTATCGAGGATGTATATTGTTTCTTTATGTTTATACCAGCCCAACCTTTCGGTAACAAGCTTACATCACATTGTCCAGCATGCCCGACATTCTACGACAATCGATCAGCAATTCTTCTCTCCAAGTTTTTATTTTCTATTTCTCAGCCGTCGTCCGATCGGCCCATCCCGTCCTGCCTGTTTGTATAGGGTTGCCATATGATATTTGTTACCATAGCTTCTGCACCCGCCATCAAACAAACAGTCCTTAGCGAAATGGTCAGTTTTCCTACCTTTGTTGCTCTTGTCTTTGCTGCCACCTCAATCTCTGTTCTGACTCGAGACATCAGTCATATTGCGTGTGCCAAGTGGCTTCTGTTATATTGAGCCTGCAGTGTCTGCAAGCTTCATATCGATTACCAAGCTATCTTCATTTGCCAACTTCAAACGAACATCCAACTTCAATTAATCGTCAGATCTGTACAAATATATGACAACAGCTTCGCTCTATTGTATATTTGGCACATGAAGTGAAACTTTTATGTACGAGCTCGTACAGCACCGATCTGCCTGATTGTCATCAGCCCTTGTGCTTCTCATTTAATAGTAGTACTTTGTAGGTATGCTTGCGATCCCTTTGCACAGATGTGCTTCTCATTGAATAGTAGTATTTTTAGGTATGCTTGCGATCCTTTTGCACATATGTGCTTCTCATTGAATAGTATTGTATGTTTGGCACATTAAGTTGTAGCTCCTGGAAATTTTATGTACGAGCTCGTACAGCACCGATCTTGCGACCCCTTTGCATAGATGTGCTTCTCATTGAATAGTAGTATTAAATAGGCGTGTTTGCAATCCTTTTGCACATATGTGCTTCTCATTGAATAGTAGTTTTAAGTAGGTGTGCTTGCAATCCTTTTACACAGATGCGATTCTCATTGAATAGTAGTATTAAATAGGCGTGTTTGCAATCCTTTTGCACATATGTGCTTCTCATTGAATAGTAGTTTTAAGTAGGTGTGCTTGCAATCCTTTTGCACAGATGCGATTCTCATTGAATAGTAGTTTTAAGTAGGTATGCTTGCGGTATTTTTGCACAGGTGTGCTGCTCATTGAATAGTAGTATTAAGTAGATATGCTTGCGATTCGTTTTTCAGATTGTACATCCTCGTTTGCCCATGGAACCGAAAGGTTTTGTTGCGAACTTCTTTGCATGGGATGGTACGTCCTTTGCCCATTCGGGGCTGAATCCAAAGCATAACAAGATTGTCCATGTTGCTGCCTTCCATGCGCACATGACCGTGGCCAAAGCGTTCAAGTCTGGGTATTAGACCGTAATGTAATCGTGGGCGGTAATATACATACCATAAGTCCAAGTCAAGGTATGGACACGCGGTGCTTTCTTAGCGCCATGTAGGGATGCTATTCTCTGCTTGGGCACAGTGTCCCTACTCATGAGTCTGCTTTCTGCGCTAATTGTATTTACTCCGAATGTGCGAGTCTATTATGGATATGATGCATACTTGGCAGGGTTAGTAGTTACATACACATATTTTGCAGGGTACGTAGTTGCCTACACTTGCTTCCTAGGGCAATTAGCGATACGAACGTGCACAGACCAACAGTGGCCTGCTGCGAGGTCGTCTTGCTACACTGTCGGCATATATTCACACATCTTTTACGTAACATCCATAGCTGCTATATTCAATAGTGCAGCACACGATTCCAAGAGATCATAAACCAATCACTTGGTAGTCAGTGACAGTGAAGGGGTCTTCTACGCCGTCAACCTTTCACCAAAGCAATTTGTCTGTTATATTATATAGAAACTCCGCCATATTCTTTTGGATTTCTGCTTATGCGTATTCGTACGCCACTCTGAACTAACTCTAGATATAGAACCACCGTGAACGATTGCCCAGATATCCAATTATTCAAATTGAGGGAGACCCATCCGCCCGTGCTGCCCATCAAATGGTATGGTCTATCACCTGCTTAAGTGTCTGCTTAGCAATATTCAACTGTTAATTGGCAGGCAAAGCTAAATACTACATCATCTTGTGTACTGTTTTCGAATAAATGCCTTGTTGTAGTTGAGTTAGACACGCTGCCATACCTGCCTTTGTTCACTTCGGGGCGAGTTCTATATGCACACTGACACGACGGCATGTATGCAGTATGCTTATTCCTCACAGGAAAGTTCTGGATGGGAACATACAGTTCCCTGTATTCCTGATGACCCAGCGGTATCTTGGGCAGGTTAGCGCAATCTGACTTAATATTTTGCCCAACACCCGTGTATTCCTTTCTGTCAAAACCTGGTCCGTGTGGGGAGAATTTTTTCAGTGAATTGCATAGTTTTGTGTTATCCGTAGTACTATCTACATGTGTTCTGGGTGCCGCCGACACGTCGTGCTAAAACACTTTTGTACTTTTAGCATATACATTTCCTGTTCGACCTGCTTGTTGCTGCACGCGATATGATATTCCGTCTACCCTATATCTCTACCCTTTGATTGGCATCGATTCATTGTCCGCTGCAGGGTTTGAAGAGAAGTGCTACACACCCATCCGAGATGTCAATGCCTGTGGGAGTGTATGTGATGTTTGAATGTGGCAGTCATACTCATGCTGCAATGTGGCTTATTGCATACTGATAGTAGAGAGAGATATATTGTTTGCTCAGCAAGGAGTCGGGGCGGGGGAAAGGGACGGTGTAATGTAGCTTGTTGCCCTTCCGGCTTCAATACTAACGACAGGAGAAATGTGTGTATATTGGGGATGACAACGTGCATGGTGTGATAGTATACTTCAGTCGGGAGAAAAACTATACAAAGCCTGCCCATACTTTCACACATGCGCTTTGTGTATTCCACTAGGTATTGCTGAGTCCTTAACTGAGAACAAATGGCCACAGTCATCCTTCTTTCGCATGATGTGTACTAATAGCTGGTGAAATATACGGTTGAAAATTCGAGAGATTTTGTTACAACCGGATTGTTATTCTGCATGTAGTTACCTCTACTATTTAGCAGACCGTTGACCAGCAGCTAGAATAGCATCGTCATAGTAAGTTCTTAAACCGCTTTTTAAAAGTACAGCCTGCGCTTGCACGCTCGAAGCTGCACTGCTGTTGCCTGCATTTGTGTCTCAACAAGCTCGTCAATATCAATTTGCTGTTTATATGTTGGTATTTCGCAAAACTGAGAGTGCGTGTGCTGTCCACTGTATTTGTATCTTTATTGTTTATTTTCATGCACCCCCACCCCCCGAAGAGATACCGCCCCTCCAGTACAAGCACCTGTCGGTATAGCCAGTCCATTCCAGCACGACAGAGTCCTTGGTCATCTCTTCCTAAATATCTAATATTTCTAATCATTATAATCCATCCTCCCTTTACCCTTCATCCAGCCCTCTAGAGCGGCGGACACGACGACGCCCGAGTCCATCTCGAGGCGTACGGGCTGGCTCTCGGCGTCGACGACGAAAACAACACCCTGCGCTTCTTGGCCCGCTCCGTGTGATCTCCACCCGGCATCTGTCCTCCGGCAAGCAGCTTGTCTCGCGTCAAACTGGCAATATCAAGTGGTTGGCTGCCCTGAATAGTCTCATGTGTCAACTCGAGCTGCCTATTCTTGGCTCGATACGGGCTAGCTTTCGGTGTTGTATGGTCTCCACTTGTAATCTAATCGCCATGTGTCAACTCGAGCTGCCTATTCTTGGCTCGATACGGGCTAGCTTTCGGTGTTGTATGGTCTTCACTTGTAGTCTAATCGCCGACTAAAAGCTTGTCTCGCACAATACTCGCATAATCAGATGGCTTTCTGCCCTGAATAATATCATGTGTCACCTCGAGCTGCTTCGCAATTACCGGCTGCGTAACCTTATTACCCGTAGTCTGGCCTCCGGCAAGGAATTTGTCTCGCGTCATACTTGCGGGTGGCTGGCCCTCCTTTACAATCGGAATATATCCGCCGTCTTGTGTCCATGCTTGCTTGCCAGCTTTTTGAAAACCCCAAAATGGCAGTTACGGCGGTACATGAATTGAATCGCTGTCGGCATTGTTCGGATGGCTGCAACGATTTCCTGTTTCCACTCGTGGGGTGCATCTGCAAAAGGGGAGTCGTGAAATAGCCAACTGGCATACGCTGATCGCATGAACGAGCCTCGTGGTCGTGCCTTTTGTCGTCCAATCAGTGGAATATGTGCTTTGATATTTTTTAAATACACCCCGTATTCCTTCTGTGTAGCCACATCCTTATTGTAATGGATGATCAGCGGCTTGTGTGCTATGATTTCCGCGGGTCCATGCCAATCTTTATCGGTAAGTACATACACAGTCGCCCAATTGCTAACATGGGGACGTCCAAGCGTGCGAGATCGGCTGACTGCTTCTGTGAGTGTTGCGCTTTCTCGCGGAATCGCTGTGCTTTCTTAAATCTTTCCTGTTATTCCCCTGCTAACGTCACAGTAGGAATGTCAAACCCGAGTGCCTCATCTAACAACCGTTCAATCGTCCCATCTGTTTCGTGTTTGTAGATTGTTCCGGTCTCGAGTTCATATAGAGATGTTCCAATGACTCGTGAAGTGGTTGCATTATAATTACTGAAAAATGATGGTATAGCATGGCGCCATTCATGCATTAATCCAACGCCCAACGAGCGCTTCAACCACCTCTTAGTAGTTCGCAAAAAAAACCTCTATTCTCCCATTGCCTCCGTGTTCGCCCTTGGACACGTATCTGATCGACGAACCTTTGCTCGCGGCGTAGTCCGTAAACTCCTGGCTTATGAACAGGCTATCCTGATCCTTTACATATTCAGAAATATGCCCTCTGGGCTCCAGTTGCGTCTGACAAAACCGAATTAATTCCGTCGCTGAATGCTCATCATCTTTCATTGCTGCTCGAAACGCTCGTAAAGTGAACCCATCTTGCGCCGCTAGTACGTACTTATAGCCCTCGGTATCCTCATCTAGTACTAAGTAGTCCAAGTTTATCTCCTCACATATGCGCATAGGTCTTGGTGGTTGTTGTAACAATCCCCTCGTAGGGCCCGTCGGGAGACCTTCCCGAATGCAATCGGTGCAACTGTCTGTCAGCGGTTTGAGCACCTCGGCGGGGATATTCCATCCGCATTTGTCTTGTGCAATCGCTCGCAAGCGATCTGTTTGCACATGCGAGTACCCCTCATGCCACAACCATAAAGCTGCCATTGTCGCTGTCGGGGGAACTTCCTGTCCCACACATGTAAGTTGTAACTTCTTCAAACGATTCAACAAAGATGTTTCCGTAGTCGGAAGTAATTTTAACGGTGTATGTCGTGCTCGCTTCCTGTTGTGTATTGGAGCATCAGTAGTAACATCGTCTGAACCGGTATACCACACTTCTGGAACCGCCTGTTTGGATCTCGGCCAAGACTTAGGCTGGATGTCCTCCGTGTGGATGGTGTCAAACTATTCTAATGAGTGTTGAAATGCCGCGACCTTCTCCCCTGTGCCCGCCGGCACCCCTTGACAGTCCGCGTCAAAACGTGGCAGCTCGAAGAAAGGGTCAAGGCCTGACAATTTCAACTCGTACGCCTCCAACGCTTTGTCTAACAGCTGATCGACCGACTTCTTCAACGGCGTCCGCGGTAGTTCCATTGTATTAGCCATTTCTCTATAGCTGCCCTCCTGGTTCGCCCCCGTCGTCATCCCTTGGACGTCGTCTGCCTATTGTTGCAATGCGTTGTCAGCTGCCATCCACGACTGTGCAAATCGGGGTGGCGATTCATCGTCTGATTCTCTCATATTCTTTGCTACTTCCAAGCTCGGAGGTGTGTACACGACCATTTGCTGACCATCAGATCTTGCTAAGCCATCCTGATGTACCAACTGACATGCCAATTGTTTCTCAGTGTTGTCTTCCCTGCTGTACAATGGCGACTGCATGGCCTTGCCTGTCCCAGATTTACATTGTCGGGGTGATTGCACCGTGTCACTTAGCGATGGTGCCTTCTTCGCCCCCAACCACTTCCATGATTTGTCCTGTGTGCTGGTAACCGGGATCCGCGGTGTCGTGCTGGACGGCCCCGTGATGCCTGTGCAATATGGTACTAACGAGTACCCCAAAACATGTAACGAGGGGGGTGCTCTGCTCAACCCCAATCTCGCCCAGAAACTCTGCGGTAGCGGCGGTGGCCGTGGTCGACCACCCTGCAACACCACTACCAAATAATATTGCCATGGTGGTAACCCCAGAATACGTTGTCCCCTATGCAGGAATGTATCCTCCGTGTGCGGCACTATCCATGGCGTGCCCTGAGTGAGGCTATTCAACAGTGAAAACCACTCAGCTGTCGGCCAAAACGGTACTACCGCAACCACGTAAGTGTCCTTGATATGCTTGAAAGAATGTAAAAATGCTGCAATTAACTTCCACGGTGAGTTCATATACGCTCTGATATTCACCAAATCCACTTCAAAAGCTTAGCATCCCGCTGGTCCGGACCCATCCTTCGTACAATACATGTCTAATACATCGTCTTCGTGGCTTGCGAACAATTCGATGTCCAACGGACCCAAAAGTTGGTCAATAAGTGCTACCCACAAAGGGTTAAACGTGTAACTACCCGGGTGTGCATACTTTGTGATGCTAGTCCTGTACCCTTCCCTGGTATGCTGAGTGTTATCTGCTCTATCATGACTCCACGTCACTCGTCGTTCCAGCGGTGTGAACGTCAACGCACATGCCGACTGTTTGTTGGCCTTGTTACCGATTTCCTCTTGTCCAAACTCCACCTGTTTCCTTGTAGGTCGCAAAAGCTGATCCTATGGTTTGTAGAGCGCGAAAAATAGTCTCCAAAAACTGTAAGTGGGCCTTCTACATATTGAACATCCATCACGACCTCATTGATGGTGTTTAACGCACGTATAATTCTGCTGTTTTTAAACCTCTCCGTCTGGAGATAGGGTTCTGGATTGGCCAAGATGTTAACCAACGGTTTATGGTCGGTGACTAAAAATACTGGACGTACTGATCTGCGACAAAGAACAAAAGTTTTCCTAGAAGCGTATGTGCAACCTACCATTTCGCGGTCAGTGGCTCCATAATTGAGCTGAGCTGTATTGAGCTTACTGTAGTAAAAAGCCACTGGGTACAAGAACCGATGTCGTCCTATCGAAATGCCTAAGTCTCTAGGGCTATCCATCGTCACCCTGGGTAAAGTCTGCTGTCAACTGTAGCCCTGAATCCTCTGCAAGTGCACCACTCTGCTTCGTTTGTGACCCTACATCATTCTCAAGTGTGACACTCTGAGTTGTATATCGGTTCTCAAGTGTGCCACTCTGAGTGCGCGACAGGTGCTCAAGTGTGCCCCTCTGAGTTGGTGTGTTCTGTTGTACCATATCCTCCTGAGTGCGACCTAGGTGGTCTTCTGTGTCTTCACTATGTATATCGGTAGCCGCATTCCTAGGCACGAATGGCGTGAACTCCGGCACTGACCTCAAATCGTCGATCGGATTGTAAACTACCTCCGCTCTATCCGATATGCTATAGATAGATTATTCAACTTCGGATATGACTAACTTAGGTGTTTGCGGATGCAACCTGATGGGTGGCAGACCTAACACTTCTCTATATCGTTTACATTCTTCAATGCACCTTTGTTCCTCATCGTATTCCAACGTGCCCGGTGGTGGTATCTGCACAAACACCGCTGCTCCGACTTCTACGTTGCATGCGTCCGGTATGATGACTAACCGCTGGTGAGGTAGGGGCTCATACAACTTGATCCGGTTCATAATTAATGTTAGCAAGTGTGTGAGAGCCTGTTGCTGTGGCGCTCTCCATCCAAACATTGTACCCTTTTTTGTTAGGTCCGACATAGGCGCTGGTGAGGTAGGGGCTCATACAACTTGATCCGTTTCATAATTAATGTTAGCAAGTGTGTGAGAGCCTGTTGCTGTGGCGCTCTCCATCCAAACAATGTACCCTTTTTTGTTAGGTCCGACATAGGCACTGCTATCGCTGCGTAGTTAGGTATATACTTTGACAACCACGACATTACAGCTAACAAAGAAATTAACTCTCGTCTATTCTTAGGCGCCGACCTGTCAAATAATGCCTGCGCCCGCTCCTTCATAATCATCGTCGCGTTCCCAATTGTCTCCCTGCCGTAAAATACGGTGGGTATATCTGCAAGATGCATTATTTGTGTTTTCTTTGGTTGCAACTGTATATTGTATTCTATGCATATGTCTACAAACTGTATTGTTTGCTGCCAATGTCGTTCCAACGCCTCTATTACTGATTCTGAGTGCCTTCTATGTGTCGCTATCTTGTTGTCGTCTATATATGGCTTGTGGTCATTGACATCAGCGAAAATGGGTTCTGCAAAGTGCTGCATGTCAAACGCGCTCTTCTCGATGCCTTCCTGCAGGCACGTCGTTCGATGAAACTTCCCATCAGAGGTAACGTACGTCAAATAGTCTCTGGACTCCTGATTCAGCTCTAACTGATGATATGACGCCGCTAAATCTGCTACTGTCGTATTGAGAGCATTTGTGCCATGCTCACCCATGTCGTCTTCCAAAGGTAATTGATACGCAACTCTAACCATCTGTTTGTTTACCTGGATGTAGTTTATTGTTATTCTATAATCCTTCAAATCCTTTGGCACCACTCTCGGATCCTTCCTTACGGTCTTTACCGAACTGACCCATCTGCTGTATCTGTTGCTTGGCTCGGCCTTCCCTTATCGGTATAATTGTGCTACTTTCTGTATTTCGATGTCCTTCAACAATGGGTCTTTCGTGAAGTAGATGGACCTTGACGGCTTTGCTCCCTCCTGTGGCTGTAGCTTGGCTGCGACTCCTTTGATGAATTTGGTCTGTCGTGGGTCGTATCTCGCAGTGAGGAACTTGCCCTTCAATTCTAACATTTCCTCTTCTGTTTTCTTGAGCAGATCCCCCACCCTACGCAAGTGTGTGAAATCGTACTCATCCGGTAGTTTTCCATCCAAGTCTGGCTTCTTAGGAATATATATTTCCGACCAAGATTACTCCTGTTTCGGAATTAGGAAAGCTACACCCTGTGACCTAGGCAATTGCAAGGTAAATGTCGGTGGTTCTGTGGATTTGTCCCAACTCGTCCCCAATAAGTTGTCTTGCATGGCATCGAAGCCTACTAATATATCGCAATCTTGTGACAACCAGCTGGAAAGTAAAAACATCATCTCTTTTGTCTCAAAGAACGTCGGCATCCCATCCGCTGCTCGAACATTCAATAATAACGTTGTAGTCGCTTTCTGAGTTAAAACCGACTCTCCTGTTCCACCAAAACCCTGAAGGTACATTGGTGTTGTATCTGTAATTTCTATCCCATATTCTCGTGCATATTCTTAATGGATCATTGCTGGTATAGCTCCCGTGTCATTATAAATGCATGCATGCTCGTCTTCACATAAGGCTTCCGTGACCGGTCCCGTCCAAGCATCCTCATCGGAGCTGGTATTTGCTTCCGTTGCAGCTCTGGCGTCATGTCATTGTAGATAGTATGGTACCTAATGTTCCTCTTCCTGTTGGCTCGTCGAAGTTGTCGTTGTTGTGTAAACTTCGATGGATATTTCTATGTTTTGAACTATGTTATATAAACTAAGATACAATTTAAGTCAGTTAGGATTTAGCAGTGGTAGCTTGTGTAAGAATGATCAGGACTGCCTCTTGGTAATAGCCTTAATATCCTCGATCACACAGAACGTACCTCTAGCTGTTCTTTATTGAATAATTTTCACTAGACGTACTAAGTGTTCGTGACCACATGCCTAAGTTGTAGATAGACATAAGAACGCAAGTCAAGTTAATACATTAACTAATAAAAATAAAGTTCCATCTGAAGAAAAGTTATAAAAAAATGAAAAAGACTCCTTGGATTTTGGAGATTGGCGGGAAGACCAAAATCTGTAAGTAGTAGTTCAGAGATTATAAAATTTAGTTTATAATATCCTACATCTACTATCGTCTCAAATAGGTCCAAGTAAGT